GCAGGGGAAAGGGAGCTGGGGAGGCGGGGTCCCGGCACTGTGCTCGCGCCCCCAGCGCGCCAGTCCCGGGGCTGCAGGGAGCGCAGCGCGCGCGGCCCGGGCCCCGGCCACCGGATGCCCTACCGGACACGACCCTCCCTGGAGCTTGGACAACTGCCCACCTCGGACACTGCACCGGACACTGCCCCCCACAGGACTGCACACTACTTCCCAGCTCCGGACATTGCTCCCGCTTCTCCCCCCACCCTGGATCTGGACGCTATTTCCCCTCCCCCTCTGGGGGCCAGACCCGGAGCCCCCCGCAGGCTCTAGCTGGCGTCCCCTTGCACCCCAGTGCTGGACATTGCTCTCTCCCTGTTGCTCTCTCCCTCCCTCCAGCCTCTGGTTTCCCCCGCCTGGATCGTATCCCCACCAGTTTCCCCGACCCCCTGCTGCTCCACCGCGGCGGCACGCGCCCCCATCCCGGGTCGCTCGCCCGGATGCCTCTCCCCGGGGGATTGTGGTGGCTTCTCTGCTGCCGTCGAGGCTTTACTCTTCTGCACCGGGACTACGGGGACGGCGAGCTTAGCGGGGACGGGGACGAGGACGAGGACGAGGAGACCTTTGAGCTACGGACCCCGAGTTCAGCGGGCGGCGGGAGGGTAAGTCGGGCGCGGGAGGGGGGGACTTTGGAGACTCGTCTCAATCCTTCTTGATACCACAGGCTATCACGCCTGCTCCTGCTCCAGACTCCAGTCAAACTCTACTCTCAGGGAGGACTGGGGACGTGGGGGAGCTTCTGTTAGAGGGTCAGAAGCCCCCTGGAGCTCAAGGGGCTGGCGAACTCAGTGTGTGCATGTGGGCCTCGCACGCACGCTGGGCGCTGTCCACCTGCTGGGGGCCCTGAAGTGGGGTAGGCGTCACGCGTGGCCCGACCTGGCTCTGCCTCTCCCTTCCCCGCCGGGCCTGCGTCCCATCCCGTCTCCTTCCGCCTCCGCCAGCGCCGAGGAATGTGGCGAGGCCGGCTAGGCGGCTCGGACTCCTGGGTTCGCTCCGCGCCCAGATCGTGAGCTCTAGGGCCAGATGCAGGAGCTCCCGCCACGGGAACATGAGCAAGGGGAAGAAGACATCCTAGGACTGAGGTCTATGCCTGTGATCCCACGGCAAAGGAGGTGGGGGCCTCAATTCAAGGGCCCTTGTCACCCTGCTACTCAGGACAGAACTTTCGGCCCTCCTTGGTGAGGCTCCTGGGGAATCTTGGAGGGATGGGTGAGAGACGTTCACGGGTTTTGCCGAATATTCTTATGGGGAAACTGAGGCACAATTAGTGTGAGCTACCTCAAGACCCCGATGCCCTCTCCCGCATAATCATTCACGATGGTTGTCAGACTCCCGTGTGCAATGGCCTGGGCCAGGCTACCATCCCCCGCCCAGGGGTCCCTGGCTGGCCGGTGGCTCGGTGCCCGGGTGGGGCGGGCTGCGCTGCCAGGGCCGGCGCCAGCACCTGGCGGAGGCGGAGGACGGATAAATATAGAGGGGGGGAGGGAAGAAAGTGGGAGACTGAGACTAGGGGAGCTGGTCTGAGAGGGTGGTCAGCACCTGTGCCTTGATGGTATGGCGAAGAGCCCCGCTCAGATCCTCCAGAAAATGGGTAGATCTGGGCCCCTAGTCAGCACAGGACCAGCTTCCAGTCCCCAAGCTTCAGCCTGGGCAGGGTCGGCTCTGTCAACCCCGCCATTGCTTCCCTCGTGCTCCACCTCCACCCCCCTCCCTGGCGCATGGGGACAGGTGTCCCTGGTCCCCCTCCCCCTCCCGGCTGGGGCTGTCTGGGCGCAATAGGAGGATGGCACAGTTCCCGCCTGGCGGGCCTCCTGTCGGGTTTGCGGCCTCTCTCAGACCGCAGTCTAGGATTGGAGTTCTAGGGCGGTGTGGGTCGGGTGGGGAAATGGCAAGATCCCAGACTATAGCTCGCCTGGAGTGTGTGCGCCATTCCTCAGCTCAGAGTATCCATCCTGAGCCCGGCAGCACGGTAGAGGTTCACTTCCAGGGATGTCTGTGCAAAGGCTGAGCGAGGCTCTTGAAGAAAGTTCTGTACTGTACCCGTCTGTGCCTAGCTACTGGCCATTCCTTCTTAAGCAGAGTGGAAGAAAAGGAAAATTGGAAGTCACTTGGAGCGTGTCAGTGTCAGAATGGGAAGGGAAGGATCTTCTTCCACCGTTTCCATTTTACAGATGGGAAAGCTGAGGCCCAGAGATAGGAAGGCACTTGTTTCAGGTTCCACAGAGTTAGTGGCCAAGCCAGTGCTAAAACCCAGATCTTCTGATTCCATTCCATCCCAAGGTGGGGAAGGAAGGAATCTCTGATTCTATCCTGTCCCATTCGGATTAAATCTTCAAAGGGTAACGGTGACAAGGTGTAAGCCTTTGGACAAGCGAGAGGATCAGAGCCATTGGTTGGAGCTGATGGGCCCCAGCCACTACCCTGCTCCTTGATTCCTGAAGTCCCTGAGCAGAGCTGGATGGGGCAGAAACCATGAGCTTTCTGCAGGGAGAGCTCTGACCCTGAAGGCCTCCCTATCTGCCTCCCCAGGGCCCTCTGGACGTGACGCTGACTCAGCCGGTGAGGACGGGGCCTGTCTCCGACAGGTGAGTTCATTCCTGGGTCCCTTGGTCTTGTGACCCCAGCGGGTCCCCAGGACCCCCATGCTAGTCATCTTCCCTCCCAAGGTTGTGCAATAAGGGAGGGCCCGCTGCCGGACGCTGTGGTTTGGCAGGGGTCCCGGGGGCTGGCCGGGCGGTCGGACCAGGGGCGCGGGGAGAAAGGGGGGGTCCAGGCTATTTCTGGTACGAGGTCAGAACAGCCCGGCGGTTCCCACAGCCAGGGGGAGGGGTTCCCAGCCCGGGAGCCAGAAACCTCTCGCGGTCTGGGGAGCTCCCACTGAAGCGCCCCCTCGAGGCGGGCGGAGAGCCGGGCAGCCTCGCCCAACCCTCCCCTCCCTTCCCTCCGGTGCAGGCTGCAGAGCTCCGAGGAGACCCGGAGCCTCATACCCGAGAAGGGGCCGCCAGAGGACGACCCGGACGTGGTCGTGAAAGGTGGGGATTCCCCCCAACCCCAGTTTTACACTCCAGAGACGCCCAATCCCAGTTCTTCGGGGATAATGTCCCCATCTGCTGATCCTTGCCCTCACCCCCACCTTCAGGTTGGCTGTACCGCGAGCCCCGTGGAGGAGGCGCGCGGCCCTGGCTGCCCCCGCGCAGGGCCTGGTTCGTGCTCACCCGGGACTCCCTGGATCAGTTCAGCGGCAGCGGGAAGGGGGCGAGGCGCCTCGGGAGCCTGGTGCTCACCAGTCTGTGCTCTGTGACCGGCCCAGAGCGCAAGCCCAAAGAGACAGGTGAGACCCACAGGGACCTTCCCACCTCCTGGCACCTACTGCGGGGACTGGCCCTGATTGCCCTTCTCGGCTTTTCTTGTCTCCAGGTCTGTGGTCAGTGACCGTGTCTGGCCGGAAGCATAGCATCCGTCTTTGCTCTCCACGCCAGGCTGAGGCTGAGCGCTGGGGGGTGGCACTTCGAGAAGTGATTGCTTCCAAGGCACCTTTAGAGACCCCCACCCAGCTGCTACTTAGGGACATCCAGGTGTGGAAAGGGGGACTCCAGAGAGAGCTAGGAAGAGGGTGGTAGACCCAGAAGCCATCTGGGTTCGCAGAGATTGCCCTACCTCCTCACCTTTGCCTTTTGCCTCTAGGAGAGTTGCGGGGACCCAGAAGCAGTGGCCCTCATTTACCATCGGAACCCTATTTTGAGGCACACGAGTGGGGCCTTGTATGCCCCCCTCTTGCCCTTGCCCTACGGAGCCAGTGCCCCAGGTGAGTGGTCCCAGGAGTGGGAATGAGGTGATCAGAGGAGAATCTGAGTATGTCTTACTGTAAGGTGCACCTGATACAGGTCATGGTCTTTGCAATTACTTGCTATGCATCGCAAAGCTGGACAATGACTAGGGATGATAGGAGAATTGATGCCTTTGAGCTGTGGTGCTGGAGAAAAGTATTGAATATACCATGGATTACTAGGAGAACAAACAAGTTCATCCTAGAGAGGGTGAGACCAGGCTGTTCCTTGGCAATAAGGATTCTGAAGCTTCATCTGACATACTTTGGACATGTTGCAAAGCAGGATCAGTCCTTGGAGAGGGACATTATGCTTGGGAGAGTGGAGGGACAGCGCAAGAGAGGAAGACCCTTGATGATTGATTCATTGACGGGGTAATGGGGGTAGGTGTGTCAGAGACAATAAGAATGGCACAGGATAGAGGAGGGTTTAGGGCTGTTGTACATAGGGTCGCTATGAGTTGCAGGCAACAGCACATAACAACAATAAAAACAACATAAAGACCTTATTGGACTTACCCAAACCTTCACTTTTCAAGGGATGAAGGTGACATGAGAAGCCAACCAGACACACCCAAGGTTGTGAGGAGGGAAGTCAGCAGAAATAAGTGTCCTCTCTGATGGCTTTCTCAGTCTGACCCCTGAAATGTCTTCAAATTAGTTTTTTACCATCTTGTTTGGCCTTTCATCACACTTCGAAGACCATGTCATATTGTTAAAGTTGTTGTTTACTATCAAGTGGATTCTCACTCAGCAACCCTAGAGGCTAAAGTAGAACTGCCTGCTAGGATTTCCTAGGTTGTAATCATTCTACAGGGAGCTCTATAGAGCTCTCCGGTGGCCTGATGGTAAGAAGCTGTGCTGGAATCCTCAACACATGCAATTCAGATCCTCTAGCAGCTTCATTGGAGAAGGATGGGCAGTTTCCTCCAATGAGACTTAACTGCCTCTGAAAATCCACTGGGTGGGGGGTGGGGGTCAGCTATGGGTCGGTTCTGATTCAAGGGCACACAACAATATTCTGTAGGAGCAGATCATCAGGGTTGTTTTATTGTTTTTTTTCTCCCATGGAGCTGCTGGTGGATTCAAACCACCAACCTAGGTTTCAGTTAATAGTTAACAAATGTTCAACTGTTGTGCCATAAGGACTCCTATCATGTCCTATTATCTGTTCAAATTGCCTTTACATTTGATAGAAAAGGCACCATCTGGGAGAATGTGCTGGCAAAGCACCTACCTTCATTCAGCTCTAATTCTCTTCAAGTTAGGGTTAAGGAGTACTGGGAGAACTCTGGTTTTCAGTCTGTTTTCTGGCTCGTTTAATGGTCCTCAGTTAAAGACTCTGGGATTAGAACTACCTATGCCTTTTAATCTATTCTTCTAGAGCCAAATCTAGCCGTAGAGCTATCAAGTGGGGCTTCCTGGGAGGCAAGGGCTGAGAGTTGGGTCTGGGACGATTGCTTTCCCTTCACTCTACCTGTCCTTCGTACCTTCTTCTCCTCACCACCTTCTGTCCCCTTATACTCCCTCTGACCTTCCTCTGGTTCATGCCTTCCTCCTAGGGCTCAGCTCTGTGTCCCCCCTCCAAACCGTCCCTCCACCCCCACCCTCCCGCAGGTCCAGGCTACGCACCCTTGCGGGAGGAGGCGGTGCGGTTGTTCTTGGCGCTGCAGGCGCTGGAGGGGGCGCGGCGCCCGGGGCCCCTGATGCAGGGTGTGCTCCAGACCTGCCGGGACCTGCCCGCGCTCCAGGACGAACTCTTCCTGCAGCTGGCTAAGCAGACCTCGGGCCCCGCGGGGCCCCCTGGTCCCCTCGCTACCCATGACCCCGCGGCCCTGCGGTACTGGCAGCTCCTCACCTGCATGAGCTGCACCTTCCGGCCTGGAGGAGCTGTGCGCGGACACCTCCTGGGGCATCTGGAGAGGTGAGAGGGGAGGGGAGGGGCGAGGTCGAGGCCAGGAGCTGGGGATCTAATGGGCTGGGGCATTGTGACAGTCCTTTCCCACGGAGTAATGGGGAACGTAGGGAAGGGTCGCTGCTACTACATATAGTACGACGTGTGGGCGGAGGAATCACAATGTGGCGCCCCCTTAAGGCAGACGGAGGCTGGAGCAGTTCAGCTGCAGGGGTTTAGAGCCTGGTGGGAATGGATTTCAGAATTCCGTCTGAATGAACATCATGAAGATTGTAGGGAGTGGGAAAGAGTTGCCAGCGTCTTAAAAAGTAATGAGTACAGAGAAGGGTGCGTGGAGGGTGGGGAAGGATGGGGAAAGAGAGGGCTCAAGTTACTGCCTACAAGAAGCTTGGTTAGAGGGGAGAAAACCCAAGAGATGAAAGCACCCATAATGCAGAAAGGAGGGGGAGGGAAGGTGAAGAGAAGAAGGGCACTGATTCGTGGGCACCCTCTGCCCCAGGACCGAGCAGGCGCTCCCAGATTCAGAGCTGGCTGAATATGCGCGCTTTATCCGAAGAGCACTGGGCCAGACGCGAGGTCGAGAGCTGGTGCCCTCCCTGGCGGAGATTTCCGCGCTTAGTCGGCGACAGGAGCTGCTGTGCACAGTGCACTGTCCCGGCGCTGGCGCCTGCCCAGTGACCATCGACTCCCACACCACAGCAGGGGAGGTGAGGTCAAGGTTCCTGCAACCCCAATCCTCCCTCCCAGGTTTCCATGCCTGGTTTTACTGATCCCTTGTCCCTTGCTCTGTGCCTCGGATTTGTTATTGGAGTAACCAACTCATGCAGCCATGAGTTGATTCCCTACTCATAGAGACAGACCCTGCAGGACGAAATAGAAACTGCCCGTAGGGTTTCCATGCTTTTGTCAGTCTTTTGGTTAACAGCAACATAGTAGGTAGGGACTGTGCCACCAGAGCTCCTAAGTCTGTAAGTCTTTAAAGAAGCAGGTTGCCTCACCTTTCTTCCTCCTAGAGGTTTGTGGGTTCCATTGATGACCTTTTGGCTCGCAGCCAAGTTTTCTAACCACAACGTCACCATTTGAATAAATTAGTGGTGATAGTGGTGGAAGCAAGAGACCTGAAAGACTCCTCCCTTGAATCAACCCCTGCTGGAGTCCTGGAAAGAATTTGGGGTTGACTTCCGCTTTCCCCTTTCCAGGTGGCACAAGAGCTAGTAGGCCGACTGGGCCTGGCCCGCAGCCGCAACGCATTTGCACTATATGAGCAACGAGGGGCACAGGAGCGAGCTTTGGCTGGGGGGACCATCGTGGCCGACGTGCTCACCAGGTTTGAGAAGTAAATGTCCAGCCTCAGCCCTGCCATCAGTCCTTCTGCCTCTCAGGTTCAGTCCAACACTAAGCAAACGTTTATTGAGCGAGCGTTTACTACCTGCCCTGTGCAGTGGTAATTGCTGGCGTCACAGATCTGACTCCTCTGCCAGAGGCAGAGTTTGCAATCCAGCCTCTAGAATCAGCTCCTTTCCATTCAGACCCTGCTCCAAACAGCAGCTGCAACCCCAGCCCCCAGCGTGGTCTCTCACTCCTTTCTCCTCCCAGCTTCCCCAGCGGTCCGGGGACCCTTATTCCAGTCTCTTAGCTACCTTCTCTCTCCGTCCCCCCAGTTTGGCCGCCCAGGAAGCTGGTCTGGAAGAGTCACCTGATGCCAATTGCAGACTGTGCCTGCGTCTTCATGGGCCTCTGCATCCTGAGGGGCTATCACCAGATGGTCATGAGCTCCCTTTCCTCTTCGAGCAGGTGAGAGATTCCCTCCTTCACACCCTCTAAACAGATCCTTGAACCCTCTCTCTTCCTAAAAATCAGTTAGGATCGGTTCAAGATGACCTGTTGTTTCAGAATAGAACTGTGCTTTACAGGATTCTCAATGGATACTTCTTTTTTTTGGGGGTGGGGGTGGGGCTGTAGGTTGTCTTTGTTCCGAGGTGCCTCTGGGTGGACTTGAACTTCTAACCTTTCCTTAACAGTTCAGACATTCTAGTTTAATTATTTTAGGCAACCACAACCTTTAACTTTCAAGTCCTTATTTGTTTGTGGTTTTTTTTTTTTTCTGGACAGCACTCTAGCTGCTCCAGCATTGACACCCATGGTCTCCCTGCAGGCTCACGCTCTACTGCTGCGCGGCCGGCCGCCCCCCCCAGAGGACACCCTGCGCGCCCTGGCGGCGCTGCGTCTGCAGAGCTTGCACCGGGACTTCTCCCCACGGGTGCCCCTGCCACACCTGGACCGGCTGCTGCCGCCCCCAGCCCCGCGACGAGAAGACCCGCCTCGCCCAGCGCCCAGGCCGCTCCCCTCTGCTGCCCTGCTGGCCGGGGCACTCTGGAGCCCAGGACTGGCCAAGAGGCGGGCGGAGCGGGCTTGGCGTGGAGGGGCCGGCCACACGGCAGGAAGCGTGGCCCAGGATGGCGGAGGCAACGCTGGAACAGAGGCTGCGGTGCTGGGTGGCTGGAAGCGGCTGCGGGGCATGGGCCGAGCTGAGGCCATGGCTGCCTACCTGGCTCTGGCGGCGCAGTGTCCGGGGTTCGGCGCTGCTCGGTATGACGTTCTGGAGCTGAGCACGGTGAGGGGGAGACGGGAGAAGGGGACTCTGGTGGCCCAAGCCCCTCACCTTTGCCCCAGAGCCACAGGCCCTCGCTGTGGATCACACTGCCCACTCCCTGTGGAGCTGCCCTTTTTAAACCCCAGAAGTTACCTTGAGCTCTCACTTCTTTGTAACCTTACCTCCTTTCAGGGTCAGGGTGGGAGGGGCTCACAGCTATTCCCTTGCCCCCCTCCCAAATACTGTGGTGTCCTCTCCCTAACCCGTGACTCACCCCTGTCTGTCCACAGGAGCCTGGTGGGGGCACTCCACAGAAGTTATGCCTGGGCCTGGGTGCCAAGGCCATGTCCCTCTCCCGACCTGGTGAGACAGAGCCCATCCACAGTGTCAGCTATGGCCATGTGGCCGCCTGCCAGCTAATGGGGCCACATACCCTGGCATTGAGGGTGGGTGAGAGCCAGCTCCTCTTGCAGAGTCCCCAGGTGAGTGGGAGAGGAGTGGTGGAAAGAGGAAGAAAAAGAGGGGGTTCAAGAAACATTTATTGAACACTTGGCACCAGCCAGGTGCAGCTTTCAGCACTGGGGGACCCAAGAGTGATCAAAGATCACTGAGTGAGATTACATTAGAGTGGGTGAGTCAGGCACTGGACAAGTTATTAAAGATTATTTACCATGGGGAAAAAACCATGTGAGGGGAAGTGACTGGAAGAAGCCAGTAGCATTGGTAGGATGGTCAAGGGGGTAACACTTAAGTGGCCATGGAATGATCTGGACACTGGCGTTCCAGGTGGAGGGAAGTGGAAATGCAAAGGTCCTGCATGGGAATAGACTTGCTATTACAGGAGCAGTATGACTGGTACATAGTTGGGGAGGGGGCAGGGGAAGGTGCCAGGGCCCAGGTTACAGAGGGGCTGGTAAAGAAGCTGGAGCTTCAGAGTCACTAGGTGCAGAATGAGACAAAGAAGGGATCCCCATGGCCCTTGTTGCACCCTGACCTCTGTCCTCTCTTAGGTGGAAGAGATCATGCAGCTGGTGAATGCCTACTTGGCCAATCCCTCCCCCGACGGGCCCTGCAGCAGCCCTTCTCCTCCTTGCCAAGACCTGCCAGACATCTCCCCTCCCAGTCAGCACCCGGGCCTGGAAGAGCCCCAGGGACAGTCTGGCTGTTTGGGGCAGCTGCAGGACTGAGCCTGCCAAGAGGTCGTGACCTCTCTCCTGCCACCAGCCTGGGCCTGGACTGCTCCAAGATTTGAGGAAACCACAGACTCTTTTGGCCCTGCAGGGACAGGGCATACCCCATACCCAAGGGCTGCAGTGGGTGCGGACAATTTTCTAGTTTGTTTCTTAATTTATTTGTAGAAGAGAAGCCAAAAGGGGAAAAAAAGTCTTATTTACACAAAACCTTCCTGTGGGAGTGTTGTTGGTAGGACAAGCTGAAGCCCCATGGCTCAGGGCTCCACCCCTAGGGACGCCCACACTCTGGGCTTTTCCAGGCACCACAGCGCTCCACCCTCCTTGACCTTCTGGATTTAACCTCTCTCTGCCTAGCCAGTGGCTGTTGTAGGCTGGTAGGTGAGGCCAGAAAGAGGCAGCTTTTGAAAGCTGGCAATTACTCACCCTCCCTTCACCATTGAGTGGTATAGGGGTGGCCTCCTGGCATCCCTGAGGCTAAAGTACAGTGAGTCATCAAGACTGGCACTGCCCAGTTCCTACCCTGGTATCCAGCCTCTGGGCCCTGATTGCATGCACCTTTGGCGTGCCTACTGCTTTGGGTCTGGAATGGAGAGAAGCAGCTCAGGGCAGAATCTGTCCAAGAACTTCGGAGGGGTTCAGCTGACCCAGAGTTCGGTTCTGATCAGGTTAGGCTGAGTTGTGCTCCTATGCTTTTGATGATCCTGGACACTGAAAATCCAAACTTCTGGCTTTCCTGAACCTCTCAGACTCCTGTAGGTCCTCTGCTCGAGGCTGGGGCTACATTCCCCACCTCCTTCCCAGGGTAAAAGCATAGATCCTGAGGAGACAGACCACAGTGACCCTCTGTAACCTTGAGCATAAGGCTGAATCCTGTCAGACAGCTTGGCCAAAGGTGAAGGATAACAACAGAACACTAAGATACACTAAGACTAGTACTAACTTGGGAAAATTTAAGAAGGAAAAGGGAGCCCTGGTAGCCTAGTGGTATGCTACCAACCTGAAGGCAAGTGGTTCAAATCCACCAGCTTCTCCAAGGGGGAAAGATAGGCATTTACTGTCTCTGAAAACCCGCTGGAGGATCAGCTCTCGGTCAATCCTGACTTGATGGTACATAACACCACCACCATCATACATACCTTGTACATCATGTCAGGGCCATTGAAGATACTTTGACTGCCCCCCTCTTTACCGAATAGCCAAAACTTGTTGTTGATGAGTTCACTCTGACTCACAACAACACTGTAAGAAAGAGGAGAAGTGTCCTATCCTTTTCAAGGATGCATAATCTATGGATGCAGACTGCTGCATTTCTCCTCAGACAACTGCAAGAGAAAGATGTGTTTGAACCATATCAATCTTTTGGTTCAGAGCTGAGCACTGAACTGCCAGGGCTCTTTCACAGACAATGCCCTGGCCGTATCACTGCTGTTAGGTGCTATCAAATCAGGTCTCCCTCAGGAGTCCTCTGTGCCACACAGCGAAACACTGCCCAGTCCTGTACCATCCTCAAAATCGCCGCTATATTTGGACTCATTGTTGTAACCACTGTGTCAATCCATCGTGTTGAGGGTCCTCCTTTTCTTTGCTGACCCGGAATGACGTCTTTCTCCAGGGACTAGTCCTTCCTGATACACTTCATAAGCCTGTGAGACAGCCTCACCTTCCCCGCGGCTAACGAGCACTCTTTGGGTTTTATTCTTTTATTGGAGCTAAACAAGCAATCAGGGCCCTGTCATGAAAGGGAAGAAGCAGGGTCAGCTCTTGGACTAGAGATGAACCTAGAAAGGTTGCTGATGAGGGGAAGTTGAGCCACAGTGAACAGGAATGGTGGAGCTGTGTTGATGGTCCGGCGGCGGGGGATGGGTATAT